CTGGAAAGGTACAAAGGCTAGTTAACCTCAGTGCATCCTTCTCTTGGAAGGTTTGGTGGTTCTGAATGAATTTTAGAACATTGTGTATGTGTGTGTTTGAATTGTGCTGACGAAAGAAAGTTTATGTGTATGTCTGTCCGCAGAAGGGAGAGAATAAATGAGCATTGGCACAAGGATGTAGAATATTGAAGTTTTTGTGTGTGTGTGTTCATATATAGGAGTATATCTGTTCATGCTTACGGTTAGGGAGTGGATTGGACTGTTTGTGCACCCTCCACAGTTACTTTCACTGTAATGTACAGTACATGCCTGCCAATGACTAATTCACCCACTATCTAACTGCCCAATGTAAGATGTCTTACTGTAACAAATATCTAAAACTGATAAACATTTTAAACATACTATTTCAGTGTGTAGGCAGGAACTAGTGTCAACCAGTCACATGTGCTCTAATGAAATACTAATTAACAGATTTCCCTGTTTCCAATGTTAATCAATACAACAATTACCTTTTATGGAACCAGAGTAAATAAAAAAGAAAAGCTTTTCATCTTGTTTTGTTTCTGACTTACTGATTTGGGGAAGGATTTGACGCATTCCTTGTCTCACTCCTGGCTTGATGACAAGAGGAAGGTTTTCATCCCCATCTGTGTCATTGGGTTTGACGTTCTTTTAACAATCTGTGTGTGGCTCAGCATCAGAGGACAGAAAGTCTACAAAAGGAGGTCACAGAGATGTCTATTTTCTAGAACGGGTTGGTTATTTGTGCGGCGTATTTAGCCTTTTGTTTGTTCGGTTACCCAGGAGAGGTTGTTTCCTGTCCATGTTTTTAGTGAGACACGAGGACGTCTTCAGTGAGAGAAACAACAGGTCACAGGTCAGCAGCAGTCCAGCCTGAGATATGGAGTCAAATAACATCCCTAAAATCCAATATGCAAACTGGGACAAATTGTGTCTGGATCCTGTCTAGCTGCATTTTATTGTTCTTCCAAACACCAGATAGATAGAAGTTCGCAGCCAGGACGTTCACTCAGGAAACATATCCTCTGCTTGCCCTCTGTGCAGGGAAAAGGCCAGATTAATCTGCGTATGCACATCTGTGTGGGCCCCTTTGTGTATGTTTGTCTCGCAGAACAATCAATCAGCAAAACAATCCAGGTCCCTTATGCTTAAAGGCAAACAACATGATGAGCAGCGAGAAACCCCAAGTGCAGGCAACCAAGAACATCCTCCACCCAGTTGTCAAGTCCCAGGCCTACTTTCAGTGATCCTGCAGTCCATTAGAAAGGGAAACGTGGATGGAGAGCATGCTGCCTGCTCAGCTTGGGACTCATCTTGGTATGCCTGGAGGCCTCAAATTCAAAGCAGCAAGAGTTGCTAGAACAGCTTGGCCAGAAGTGGTTCCATACCCAGTGGTCAAAGCTCAACAACTGTCCCCACTGATCTAGATGTGCACAAGCTTTAGGGTTTCTCTCCCCCAGCAGAGGCAAGAAACTGAATAAATGAATGTCTCCACTTATGTAAAATTAAATTAATACACTTGTACGAAATGATAAATGGATTCATATTATAGTACTTTTCTATCAGAGCAGGACAAAGTGCTTATAAAGTCTCTCATTCACCTGAGCACACACACCCGCACTAGGCTGCTCATTAGGAGCAAATGGGTTCAGAGACTTGCCTTGAAATGTAATAAAGGACCTCAACATTCAGGAAAGAAAGAACAAATGTACTATTACACAAAGCAAATTCCATGTGTTTAAACAGACATGTACTAAATAAAAATTGATTTGAGAAGATGAGATGCACCAAAGATCAGGCATAGTGCAGCAGATACCAGCAATCAGGCTTATGAACGTTCTCTTTGTGGAAAATATGACAACATGTTGCTACATCGTGTAAAAACAACATGAGCTTTTATAGTCAGAAAATGTCTGAATGGTGCACATCTAGGAGAGCATAAGCAGCACTGCCGGTTAATTCAAAGTTTTTACACCAGCTGGACTTGCATTTTATCATCAGTACCTTCCTGTTGATAGCATCTAGAATAGACTTCATTTTGATCAGAAATGTAATCCTTGTAACACCTCCTGACACAAAAGTTTAAGATTTATGTTTAGTATGGAACATTGGAATAAATTAATTACCAAGTTACACTAAAAAATTTTATTTGATGTTGATCCTCTAAAGTGACAGTCCAGAACTAATGAATATTCTTATTTGCAGTTTCTGAATTTCAAGATACATCAGCACATGGCTGCACAAAATGGCAGGATATCCACATGGAGAGGGCCTTGATCTTTCAGGCAGGCATCTTTTGAACCATAAATTGGCGTGCTAATTCACAAGGTTGACATGTTGCTCCAGGCATCGTGTGCCCTTTCCATCCTGACAAGGGGCTGCTTTCAAAGTGTGTCCAGGGATGTTGTAGGAATATCTGTTTCCACAGTCCTTAATGCCAAGGAGCAGACACCACCAAAGAACACTCCATATTGGCTCACAAACACACTTGCTTTGTACTATCAAGAACCGTTGTCATCACATCGCAGGCATTCCAAATGTCATCACTGCCACTGACACCATACAGCTCACCATCAGAGTGAGAAACTGTGATTTAGAGTAAGTAGACATCCAAAACAGCATACATCCTCTGAGATACTGATAGAAAATATTATATCAAACGATAACAGATAACCATAGTTGAATATGATCAATTGTGACATACTATACACAAATATCATTAGAAGATATAATACGGTATGACGTCAATAGTTCATGACTTCTTTTGTGAGTATTTGGATGTTAAATTCACTGATTTACCATAAATGAACTAATGGTACTGTGTGTGACAACCAGGATGCCGCTGGTGTCAGATGGATTTCAAAGATGAGATTATCTCAGTTCTTCGTGAGAATGTGAATAAAACAAATAGGTATTTGCCGCAATCTTAGTATTTAAGTTTCATACATCGAAATGTGTACTTGCAATGCAAACCAATGTTCAAACCTACAAAATAAGTCAGTAACCAAACCAAAGTAACATATGCCAGAGAATTAAAAGATGTGTTTTAAATATAGTAGATTAGCTGTTTCTATTGCTTTGGGGCTTTTGTTCAGCCTTTTAAAACACTAAGTTAAATAAGGATGACGTAAGTTTTGAAACAAATAGGCAATTGTCCTTTCTATAAAACAGCAAAAAATAAGGAATCATTTCAAGTAGTTTGCACCCCAGCCTTCCTCGTCGACCTCTACGCTCTGATGTGATTTCAGACACACACTGAGCATGTTCACTCCTCATTACAACAGAAATGATCACATTCAGCTGTGCAGCACACCTCACTCGTGTTTTGTTGCCAGCAATATTTATTAACGAAGACCCTAGAAAACAAATATAAATCCAGGGGGTTATTTCTAATCATTTCATTCTGGACCACATTTTTCCTCCTCCTCTACCGATGCCGGCTGTGTTTGAACAACTGGATTTCATCAGCGGCACAAAGCCAGTTTGCCAGCAACCTCAGACAAGAACCCTCACTTAATGTCAGCACAGCAGGTTCAGTTCTGACTCTGGTGCACTGATCCGCAGCGCAAACTCACTCGACAACACACATCCTCCGCAAACCCAAGTCCTATTTGTGATTCATCTTGTCAAACATGCATGACATAAAGCTTCTATTTAGATTTTTTAAAATAGTATTTTGTCTTATTATTTTGACACAAGTGTGTAACAAAACACAAATGATGAACATGCAAGCCTTGCCAGTGATTAAACCTTGTTCTCCAGATTTGCTGCAAGTGTTGAGAGTCTGACAGATAGGTATTTGGAATGCATAGAGGTATGTTTGGGTAAAATCTTTCCATCACGCTGAAGCTCATTAGAAAGATCAAGATTGCACCTCTCTCCATCGTCTCTGTTTGTTCCTCTTGGCCCGGGGTTTGAGCTCAACTGTGGACTTTACATTTAATACTATTGGCCAACGATGACAGCCATGCTGGATGAGAATGATGTGGGCGGTGCATGGGAATGCAGGTTGTTTTTCCACTGTGGCTGATCACAGGGGAAAAGTTTAGTTCCCATTTTTGAAATGAAGTGTTGCTGTAAGAGAACGTAATTCCCTGCTATAAATGGGGCTGGTGAAAATTTGACAATCTGCAAGTCAGCTTTGCAAAATCCCCACCTGTGCAAAGCAGGAATGTTATTCAACAGAAAGACTGAGTGTGATTTCCCATCAAAATATTTTTCAAAGTGGGTAAGCCATAAAATTGCGGTAGCTGGTGTTGAAAGCTTTGTCCCACAGTCTGCAGGTGGAATTTACATATATTAAGTCTGGAAAACAAGTGAGATTCATGGCTGACTGACATAAAAACCTATCCGCTCTCTCTCTCTCTTTGCTTCCCTCTCCCCTTTTCTCTCCATCACAGAGATAGCTCTGCTCCTGGTTGCTCATGTGTGGCAGCTGGATGGAAAACATATTGCTCCATCAATCAAATCCCATTCTTTTCAGCAACACACTGTACACTGTAAAAATGCAAAGATGACAAATATTCCCCCAAACAGATTCAGAGCTATGTCTCTGTCAAACTGCACCAATTCCAATAACCTGATCCGTTTCAAATGATGTTTCCCCTGCTTGCCAATCCCATGCCTGACACTATTGTTGACAGTGTCTTAATATACAGAGAGAGGAGTGTGCACTGTGTTCAAACAAAGCCTCATTCCCCCCTGTGTTATACCAACAGATCAAATGAAAAGACGGAGGGAGAAGGAGGCGGAAGACATGTTTCAGCACACGAAAAGACCAAAGCGCGGAGAGCACCGCCATGCCTGCACTTGCAATGCAAAAGGAAAGACTCCTTCCCCTTCCTTGTCTGTAATGTGTGACACACAACTTGGCTGCAGCCCCAGCTGTAGCCCCTGGGCAGTGCATATGTCACCCATTTGTACTCTAGAAAGCAGTCAGATACGAGCTAAGGCCAAGTATGAATGGAGGGAACACTTACTCGTTTTTCTCCAGAGCCAAGAGCAGCTGTTTACCTTCCGTTACAATCAGGAGCTTCAATGATGCAGGGTGACTCTGAAGAGACAAAAGACAGGAGAGGGGATGAGAAAGACTGGTTCTAGAGTCAGGCAGACAGCATTTTGATTGAGAAAAGATTGCTGTTAAAGTGTTAGCCAGGTTTAAATGAAAAAAGAAATTTAATGAACTGGGGCTGTGTGTGGCAAATAAGCAAATATTTCTTAAAAACCTCCATTACAATCCTGATGAAACTGTGACTGAGCCACCCAGCACTTTGAAAAAAAAACACGCGAGATGACTGTTTTCAACTGATGTGAGCATTCGGAAATCCTTATGAAGCGACTTTGAATCTTAGAACAAGAGCTGAGAGGATTAGCTTTATGTTTCTATTCCATTTGACATTAATCCTGCAGAAAGCCACGAGTCTTTGCACCCCTGAGTTACGACACTGAGAGAAACCATGTGTCTCTGTTAGAGTCAGATGAAGTGGCACCGAGTCGTACATCACTCCTGTCAGTCATGCTGTGCTACAAATGTGTCTGCATGTGCGCCCACACACACACACACAAAAACTCTCTCTGTTGCACTCTCACTCAGACAAGAAACACAAAAAAAATTCAGTCTCACAATATCCATATCGCTCAGCAACCACACACACACGAACAAACACATTTCACACACATAGTTCAATCTGGGTCAACTGTGGAAAGGAGCGCTGCTCTGGGTTAAGTCATCCATCACCCCCCATGGAGAAGAATGTCTAGTGGATTATAAGAGGATATGGAAGCAGAACACTTAAGGTTTTAGGCAGTATCATTGCACAAGCCATGTGGGACTAAACTTCCTGCCATTTTCTGCTTTGACCTCCCTTACAGTGTATAATGTTTATGACGACTAACATTTATAACTTCAGGGACAACATAGATAATATACTGCATGTTTGGGCTTGTTTTAAAGGGAGTAATATATTGACATTAGCCCTTAATTTCACCATCATTGGGAGTATGCTTGTTTTTTTTATGGGGGGTACTGTACTGTACTGTATGTGGTCCTGTACCCTTTAATTTAGCTGACTCTTGACCCTGATACGTGAAAAGGATTCATTACATTCAGACTGAGAAGCACCATGCAGTTTAAGGTTTATCCCATTTTTACTTCAATTTGTATTAAATTTAAACAATTACCAAACTAAGATTATTCATTAAATCCATGAGCAATGTTAATTTGAGGCTATACTGAAAAAGAGAATATGAGAACAACCTTCAAGAGTGGAGTTAGGTTGGCCTGAAAAATTAAAATAATCTAATTATAAGCTCACTTTTGATAAACTCAGAATCGACAATCAGATACATTTTTTCTTGGCCAATCAAACACAGGCAAGTACACAGTCCTGGTAGTTTGCTTTATAACATGAACTTTGTATTTCTTCTGTTTACCTTGTGATTATCACACCGAAAGCTAAAATAGTTGCCACCGCGATAACCTTCCAGAGTTAAAAAATCTTGTCTACTGTACTTCAAAACTCAAAGATCTGTTACTCAAACTGGACTTCCTCGATCATATTTCATTAGCTCACTGGTCCCTGAAGCAACATGTAGCCACCAGCCACCAATGCAGCTGCCTGTGTTTTTAAAACAGAGACCCCCACTAAGAGCCTTCCCCATTAGCGGGGCCAAATGTTGTTTTTTTTTTCTGATGGGTGACATAAGACTAATGGCCATAGGGCCATTAAAATAAAAATGGTTTATACCCTTAGGAACATGTTCAACAAACTCCATGGTAATCTGCCTGCTGGATTATGAAATACAGTGCTTGTGCACTAAATTTTGGTCTGATGGTGGTGCAATAATAATGTTTAGAAGTGCCTAAAATAAGCTTCCACCCTCTGGGGAGCAGAGGAATCACCTGTCTAGAGCAATTTCTTGTGCACAGGTGGAAATGTTTACCTTCATTCAAAAATGTATTCTGATCTGACGGCACTAGACCAAAGGTGAAGATGTAACCAAAATCATTAAGTCTCATCTGCAGGAGAATATCTGCACCAGTTTAGGACAGGCACAGGATTTTTTTAAAAAACAAGCAGAGCATTAATGTAAAAAAGAATAAAAGAAAAAAAGTATTTTATTCTATAAACTGCAATTTTTCACCTGGGATTTGAGCTGGCTGATTGGTTTCCAGTCTTGTCCAACAAGCTGAAGAGGTACTGTAGTCCCATAGTGTTTCTGCTTTGCTGTTGGTCTGTGTAGAAGAGGCGTGCTCAAATGATTCCCTGTAAAAGAAAATATCAATACCACGTGAGAATACACAGAAAACTTCAAAAGTGTTACCCCTTTATTCTAGATTCTCTCAGCATCTGTAAAATCAGACCATGTCCATCTTTGTGGACACAAACAATGGGAACATTTTCTAAACTGATGTTCTACAAACAATACTGTTAATGAATTCCTCTCCGCTATTGAGCCTGGTGTCCATTAACAACAGCAGGACACAACCTGACAGGATGGCTGCCTTGCAATATTATCATTGTCATTTAAACAAAAATCACAGTATTTGTATTTGGTGTCTTTTCTGTTCACAGCACACAAATAATGCTCTCTGATGTTTTGCTTTTAATAACTAACAATTATCTATGCCCACAAAATGCCATCTCCAATACATTCTTGTCCTTCCTGAACATATGTTCCTTTATATAGGCTGTCTCCTCTCCCATTAACACTTAAATACAACAGCACTAATCAGCACTCTCAGACATCAAGCAATGACAACCGTTAGTCTATGGCTAAACTGTAACCTCCCTCTCAGTCACTCAAGCTGCATTCATCTCCACAGATCTTCAGGAATGGAGAGTTTTGAGCAAAGAGGAACTGCTGCTGCTGTGATAACTCCTAAAGCAGGGCTAGTGTCCAGGATGCTGTGCCGGGATTAGACGTAGCTTTGGGGCATTGTTCCCAGCATGCTTTTATCTCCACTCTCACTGTTCTGACAGGGTGTTAACCGAGCCTCTGAATGGCTACAATTCTCTGGAGCTCTGCTGTGTTGCCAGTCATTTAAGAATATACTCGTCCCCAAATCCAATACTGATGTCCCCAAGCGTGCCAGCCGGGGATGAAGTGGCAGAAAAACGGCCACAATCCCAAGCAAACCTCCCACTTACAACTGAGACAGAAGCTGCAGTCACTCTGAAAAGTACATCATAAGCACACAGAGAGTCAGAAAGCAATAGTGAGCCACTGGAGGACATTGCTAACAGGGTTTCTGCAGTAATCAGCTCCCCGCAGCCGGGAAGCTATTTCGGAGCTTGGGTCTCATACTAAAACAGCAGGGGGTGTAAGAACCATTTGTTTCAGTGCAATCATCCTAAATCAAATGTTTGCTTGTTTTTTGTTTTCTTCCACTGATGCTACATTGAGCGATTCCACAGCAGGGAAAAAGATTTAGTTTGATGATGATGTCAGTAGACTTGTAAGAAGTTATGAACATGGTCTGGGCATAAATTATGGTATGTTTTGAACTCAAACTTTTTAATTACATTTCAAACACATATAAACACAAACCACACTCAAGGGGACCCACTCGTCACAGATTATTATTACTTGCAGATTCAAGGCTCTTCCTTCGAGGTTCACATCAACTTCTGTGTCTCTACGCATGACTCACCCAGCTAAATTGCTGAGTCTGCTTATTATCCAGCATTAATAACCCAGGTCAGGCACAGTGCTCCCCAGCTGAGCTTTGTTCTGGTTCTCCTCTGAGGAAACCACCACTCTGGAGTTCATCACAGAGCCGCTCCAGCTGATATGGGAGAGCCAGAGGTGACCAGCTCAGCAGTCCTCATGCAGCTCCAGCCTGATGATGAGAAGCAGGCTCCGGCATCACACACACACACACACACACCCACCCCCCAGTGGGAGAAGCATCCTACCCTCATTAGTCCTAGAAAACCACACCGTCTGGGGGAGGTGGACATGCTGAAAAAGGGAATGCATGGCAAACTCTGTGAAAAGTAGGGACAGATAAACACAACAGAAGAGGGAAAACCAGAGAGAAGTTTTGACAAACAAAGGTCAAGTCCACATTGTGGTTAGCCGATTTATGAGGCACACACACATACACACACACACACACGGAACAACCATCGCCTACTCTTTTCCATACACCACATCAACTTTGAAGACGAGGTTCACAACCATACAGTGTTTGGTTCCCTGACTTCAAAGTCTGCAAGTGAATAACCATTTTGTTAATGTGGTGTGCTATGAGGTTTAATTCCTGCTTATAAATGGCATTATATTAGTGGAAACAGTCAGAAGGCTAATTTTTTTCCCTGCATGCTTCGAAGAGACATTTTGTAAAATGAGCATGAATGTGGCGAGGCTGTGGTGTGTGGCATGTGTAAGTGGCTTTTGTTAGCTAGAATGTTATAAGAGCCACCAGAAGCATTAAGGGAGCGATAAAAGTGGCTCCAGAGCCCAAAGCCTTATTTATATGCTCAATAAAGGAGAGTGTAAACAGAGGTCTTAATAAAGCAGAATTCTGGCCATGATCAGCCATCTTTATGCCCCAGTATACACAAGGAGAGTTTGTGCCATTTATATTGCTGCAATAAAATCAATGCTAGGTTGGGGGGGTTGTATGTCTGTGTGTGTGGAAATGTGACAGTGTGTGTGTGTGTTTGTCCGTGTATGGGTGACTGAAATGTGACACAGACCTATGATTAAATAAAGTAATAAATTTGGCTTTCCCTAGCAGTGTTGTTGACAAAAAAAATAACAAAATCTATTATGTACTCTATATGTAGAGTCATTGTTTCGTTGTTTTACACTGTATTATTGTACATGATTGGCTGATTATAGCTTAACAGCAGGGTAGAATATTTACACTAAGCATGGTTTAAGTGATTTACAGATCTAATAATCAATATCTTTAGACATCTATTAAAGATATGTTCTTATATTTCATTCACTTTTCAGCCAAATTTTGGTAGTTTACAGTTCCTGATGGTATTTCACAGTGAATCATTTCCTGGTTTTATCAGCGCTCCCAGTTGCATGCATTCTCCATTGCCTATGAGCTGCTGGTCCCAGTGAACAGATGACCTTCCTCAGTTCTTTGCAGATCCTTTCACAATTACAGACCTTCTCTTTCCCCTTCACTCTGTTCCACCAAAACAAACCAACAACTGTTCGGCTTTATTAAACCCCAGAGTCTGCTTTCTCGCAACCAACTGCACTCACTCACTCCTTGACAGGCAAACCATGAAATAATGTATTCATAACAATCTTTGCTTTTCCAACACAAATGCCATGCTGTTCTTTTCATCTGCACACTTGATGAGACCGTGCCCCCCCCCCCCCATGTGCACAGGTCCTCACTGAGATGGGACACAGACTACACATACGTACACCAATAAAGACCACTCCTAATCACAGTCACCCTTGCCTGACGGCTGGCGCAGGAAAAGCACACAACGACACACTCCAAAGTCACTTTGACAGCAATTCTTTCCTATCTTGAAAACATGTCACATTGAAAATGAAAAACCAACGCCTTTCGCAGCTTGAATGAGAGTCTTTGTCATGCAAAATCCCTTCAATGGTACAAAAACAAGTGCGGAGGAGACACAGAGATGATACCAGCATTATTTGACTTGGATGGACACTGTTTAGTTACTACTCAAACCTCTAGGAAATGGGCTTGAAATAAGAGCATGTGGAATTAATTAGGGCAGAGTGATGAGTTTAAATTGGCCTGTTTCAAGTAGAACTATGACACAACAAAGACAAGAATGGTATTAAAAAAAAACCCCAAAGATATGTGTTCTTGATAAAGAAAATCTAACAACATGATCACTTTTTCCTGCATCAAGAGCATGTATCCACAGCCATTATTTTTCCAGATTTAGTGGATGTCTTTAATCAGAGTACTGACTCTGAAATGAAGTCATGATCCAGCAAAGTTCCTGAGCCAAAAGTTGGTTCTGACATTAGCCCATGGGGGAAAACGTGGTTAATGTTTATGGCTATTGTTCATTTAATAATAGGTGATTGACAGGCATATCACGAATTCAATTTATCCCCAATCAGAGTGGGCAAATTATGAAACAGAATATTGATTTGGAATAGAATGATGAATGATACACTGGGAGGAAGACCCATCAAGCAGACACTCTTTCATAAATGACCTTGAAGACAAAAGCAATGAACTCCGCTGCCGTTCCTTATATTTCTCTCCTTCATCATCTTCGTTAGGCCTGTGACTAATCATAATTGTCATCAATGACTGTTCTACAGATTCTTTTTTTGATTAGTTCCAAGAGCCCAAGATCTCTTCAAATTGTTTTGATCAACCAACAGTCCAAAAATCAAACCTATTCCATTTGAATTTATTAGTGCAGAAACAACAAGAAAAAGTAATTGATTAGTGGACTAGTGGGGAATTAATAAACGATTTTAGTCATTCATTAAAAGAAAATGGCAAAAGATTTGCTGCTCAAATGTCAGCATTTGCAGCTTTTTAAAATATGATTGTATGAAGAATATCCTTGAGACTATTCATCACACAAAACAAGCAATTTCAGGACGTCACTTTGGGCTCTGGGAACATGCCATAAGCATTTAGCCTATTTTATAGACTTATCAGATTCAACAGTGATGAAATAATTATTACTTGCAGCCCTAAATGATATAAAACAAAGAAAAGCTGCAAATTCTCCTATTTGCGAAGTAAGACTTCACATTCTATTGATCACTTAATCGACTAAACTTCACCACTTGCTCCTCAAGCCACAGTGCAGGGTTCATAGGGATTACAGAGCAAAGGTGAAAAGTGCCTGGTAATCTTGGCTCGACTCCACAGTAAACATCTGACCCATTTGGGGAACATTATGTCAACACGCTGAGGGTTGCACTAGGAAACACAGAAACCTGTAGGTGACATCACTGTAACAGGAATCCACACATACTGGAAGGAGGGTGTCCTTAAATCAAATCTAATAAAGTAGCAGTGTGTCAAAAGTCACAGCAATGAGAGTTGTTAATGGTTGGATTTACTGGCGGATGATTTTTTTAGAGCATGTTTAGGGTCATAATCAAGCCGTTTAACACTGGGCTCCCTCTACTGGTAAATAGCTCTTTTGTGAGTTCTCTCTATTGTGAACTCATTTGCTGTCACACTAGCCTAATGTCAGCACATAATTAATCTACAGGAAATAGATGGTCTTGCAGCAAAAATTCCCCTTGGCTCAGCAGGAGGTTAATGTTGTCTGAGAACCAGTGCTGTTATGCCCCGGTGGGTGACACCGTTACACCTCTCTGGCTGCGAGGGCTGTGCTCGCTGCCTGGCATGAAGCCTGTGTGCCTCAGCAACAAAGGTCAGAGCCAGCGAGCCTCTGAAGCAGAGCTGTGTGAACGTTTGTTAATATGGTCCCTATGATGGATTCCATTTACAGCAACCTGAACTCCTCTCTTTCATGGGAAGCAAATGCCTGGCGCGCATTCAAAGCACTAATAAACTGAAAATCAAACCTCAAGACAAACCTCAAAGACAGACAGAGAAGGGAGGCAGCTGCTAAATTATAGATCCTCAAGCTTTAGTGGCAACAATCTCACTCAATACCACAGAGGAGACCGTGTCTTCAACAGTCACATAGCTCAAGGATTATTACAACAAAGGACGATATATATTTATATGATGCAACTGAAATAGCTCTGACCCAAATTTCGATTAACTGATTAGTTGATCTTCAGAAAATTAGGACACTAATATTGATATTTCTATTCCATTTGTCATTCATCAAGCAAAAATGCTAAATTTTAATTTTTCTGGTTTGGAAAACAGGAGGGGGAAAAGTAATGCTCTCAAATTATTAATCAGTAATTAGTCATTTGCGCTCTTGATTCAATGATTCATGCTCTCAAATTAGAAATCCGTGCGCATGAATTGTAAAATTGTAAATTGAATATCTTTTGTTTTTGGCAAAACAACCAATTTTACGACTGGATCTTAAAATATAAATCAAGAACTGCTATTTTCACTGGGTATTTGTAAACATGGAAACCAACCCAAAAAATCTGGGATTGGTCCAGGTTTTACTTTCGTAGATCTGTAGCTAATTGAAGTGCTGCTTGCTCTGCTTTGCTTAAAAATACATCACAGGTTCCACCTGTGGAATACAACTCAGATAGACACATACAAAGCAACTGGCTGCAGCAGAACTTTATTTGGGCCAATTTGTTAGAAACTCACCCAGGTAGGAGGTGACCTGTCTTGTTCCTGTTAACACGTCTGCCTGTTAAGAAACATTTTACGGCTCTCGTTGCAGAATAGTGAGGTGAAATCTGGGCGGATGGTATATGCCTGGCTGGAAGATATATTACCTGGAGCTAAGAATAAAATGATATATTTCAAATCTCACTGGAAGGCAATTACTGCATGTTCATATGGAATCTAGTCAAACTAGAGAATGTTTCCCTTAGTACATCTACAGTGTAATAAAGTATATTAATCTCAAATTGCATTTGATTCCTGTTCTTATCTACTCTGGCAGGATAATAAAAAGGTAGATGGTGATTTTACATACTATGTGATGCTGCTGTTCTGTGAGCATTTTTCACTGTAAATTTGACTTATTCTATTTCACCTGGGGCATCCTGAAAAAGCTCCATTAAAAGCAAAAATATTTCACAAACAATACATCAAATGACATGAAGAGATGTCACGAGCAGTTCCCCTCCACTCTATAGAGCTTTTCAACCTCTGTTAGCTCATTATGGTTTTACAGCACATTTACTTTATTGTTCAGTCTCACCGCTCTCATCAATCCCTTTTCCAGGAAAAGATGTAGCGGTTTTCAATAAAAACTTTCTAATAAACCTAAAGGGATGTGATTTTTCTGGATTAATCTGGAATTCTGGATTTTTCGACCTGAAAACGTGACCCACGTAATTCATGCAGATCTGTAATAAAAATGAAATGGAGAAGATTTGAGGACATCTATGGGCTGCAGTGTGTGAAGATACTTTCCAAGTATCCATGAGGATGTGTATTTTTGTTCAGCTTGAGCTCCTGCCAGTCTTAAAATGACAGAGGTGAGTGGTAAGGTAGGAAGGTGACTGGTGTCATCTTGACTATTTTAACGAGTACAGGGGCTAGGATCAATAACATAATTACTGAAATTTCACTCTAAAAAGGGGGAACTGCCGGTGCAGTTTGCAGTGGAATTATGTCTGTTGTTTAGTTTATTTTACAAGACAAAGTGAGCATGGATATTTGTGTGTGGACCTTTCTACTACAAACATTTTGACAAGTCATAGCAGAAAAAGCACATCCAGGGGTGGAAGCAGTAAAGTTAACAATGGCATTTAAGTGTCCTGGTAAGCCATTCCAGGAAACCAGCATGCAGAATAGTAAAGCCCTGCTAATCTAAATAGAATACAGTTGTTATTAAATGATGATACTGATTCACCTGTGATTTTCCTGCTGTAATAAAAATGTTTGCTATAATAAAAAGGTGTGATTTTCATCTTGTTGTGGAGACAGACCTTGTTGTTGTCTTGTTGTGGAGACATGCTTCTAAATTAACAATAATTCTGTGAAATGGTGATCGGGTGGAACTTGAACTGCACCCGACAGATTTGTCACTGACAAGAGATATCCGAGCCAACTGGGTCCTCTGACCAGAAGAGAGAGAAGACGCTAGGGGAGAGCTGTGCTGAGCTCAACTCTGACCTGTCTGGGTGTGAAAGTCCAATGAGAAAGTCCAGAGCCAGCATCGGGTTTCAGCTTGTGTGTTAAACTTTTGTTGGCGGGGGTGGGGTGGGGAATTAATGCAACACATGTAGGGTCAGGCCACATGAGCACAGTCCAGCTATTTCCCCCCTCCTATATAAATATCCCCACTGCGGAACAGCAACTGGTTGATCAATCTGTCTTAATGCACAACCACACATTGGCCAACTCTTCTTGCCTGCCTCCTGGGTCTTAACTATCCTGTACAACTCATCTGGAAGATCTGAATCCATTCATATTGAAATGATACTAAATGCCTCTGACTTGAGATGGGTCACATCGTGATGATAATGTCTCTCTGGGGGAGGACACTGTTTGCTAAAGGAATGTTTTACTGAAGTCCAAAAATATATTCTCGGCTCAACTTTCATTTGTCTGAGCGTGCAGCACGCAAGCTGCATGCAGTGCTCAAGGCGAAGAGAGTCATGTTGGCTGAAGCAGTACAGCTGGCTACTAAAGTACTGGCTGACACTAAGTGTGTCAACCGTTGGAGGAAATCATTCACAAATGATCCCCGACTAGGACAGAAGCATGCACAAGACAGACAGGGAGAGGAAAACAGGCAAGAAAGCTCAAGGAGCGATGTCATGAAATATGCATGCCAACATGACGTAGCATGGAGCTGAACTGCTCCATCTTTTCTTAGCAGCCTTGAATTCCTGACAGCCAAGACAAAGGTGCACAGTCTGGAGACAGAGCAGAAACTCTTAAAAGGGAGCACTAATGGAGCCCACTAATTATGCTTCAATGTGAAGTAGAAAGCTGCAACTAATTATTGTCATTAATCGAACAGTTGTTTTGTCTATAAATGGTCAACAAAATGAGCCCAAGGCAACATCTTCAAATTGCCAACAGTCCAAATATACTCATAAGACAGAGAAAAACAGTAAATCCTCACATTTGAAAGGCTGGAAACAATTGTTTGGCATTTTTACTTGCTTAAACGCCCTAAATGATTAATGCATTATCAAAATTGCTGCTTATTAAGTTTTTGACTGATGTTTTCAGCATTTAGATGAAGTCAGGCCTCACCCTGCATTTCACACCATTTGATTTTTTCTGTCTTTTAAGTGAAACTCCACCTCCATCCATTTATCTCAATCAGCCCTACCCCCAAACAGATAAATATCCTGCCAAAACAGATTGGCTCAGACTTTCCCAACAACACACACAAATGAACTGGCGATGATGGTTTTCGACAAGTATAGAACCCATGGGAGCGAACGCATCACGGCCAACTTCTGATGATGATGATCTGTTGATGAATAAATGAACAACTACCTCACAGTTCCATCACACATTTGCCCTTACTGGTAATTAATTCCCAGGACTCCACAGTGAGTGTTGTGACTGGCAGTGTTTGTAAATGTGCAGCTCTTCTACTCCCCACTGATGCCTGTATACTGTGTGTAGTGTCCTTGTTGAATCTAACCTAAGGCATGGAACACTGGTGACTGCGATGTCATGAGCCACAACACAGCCCAAAGGGCTGTGATCACAGTATGAGACAGACACAAAAATACTCTGACATCAAATTTGAACATTTCGCCAAAGCTCAAGCAACTATTTGTCATTTGTTGCTTAGATAAACATAGCGCAATTTACAGGTTTCTAAAAAGGTACTTGACTGTTTAAGTTCAAACTAACAATGTGACTTTTATGATATATTTGCCATTAAAATAACCCTGGAATTCATATCCCATAATTGAAAAACTTAAGTATGTTTCAAGTGGCTTGTAAAACTGAAGTATGTTTAAAGCACCAGAGGAATGCCTCAAGTGCTACCACTGATTACCAAAACAGTTTCAGCATCATCAATTATACAGTGTCTCCTCTCCTCTGGAGGTACATGCTGGATGGACTGTGAGCTAAAGTGTTAGGTTCTGCTTTTCACACACAGATTTATTGGAGAGAATGAGATAAACCCACTAATTTAGAAAGCTTGTTTACTCTGGAGAAGTTTCATTCTGCCCAAACATGTGTTTTAGATCTGTAAGTCTGGTATACTGACAAAGGCTTTCATAAAACATGATGTAGTCAAAACAGCCAAAGGGGAGAAATGAATTTAGAATAGGCAGAACAGAATAGAGTAGACACACAGCAGGCAAAATGCACAATGATAGATGCAGATGGTTTATTTCAAGATAAATCTGTTACTTCATGTTTCCAGGTCATTCTTTTAAATAGGCATATGACATCCACTCAGTAATAAAACAATTAAGAAAGCAATATATTTAGGACTACTTTTGCGCATGTATCGATATGGATAGCTAAATAAATGTAGCCCCTTCACCTCTTCTTGTCCACTTACCTTCAGCAGACCTGGACAGCACGCTGTCACACACCGATATCGAGACAGATAAAGCCTGAAGTGCTGTCAAAATAACAAACTTCAGACTCCCGGGATTCATGATGCTGCAGTGTGACGGGACTGTTTCACTGCAGCGCAACCATCATACAATAAGTCTACCAACAGCTGATGTGCAAGATCCCCCCAAAATAAAACCACTTCCTGAAATATGATCAAGTATATGAGTGCCTTAGGAAATCCCGACGACAGCTGATTCAGCTCCGCGCACTTTCCCCATTCAGAGATGTCCAAGTCAAAAGCTGCCTCGCGCAAAAAGTGAGAAATGTGGAGGAACTAAAGAACGAGCGATGAAAACATTAACAAATACAGAAGCCGCTGCTGTCTCAGTCGCCCACAGGTATGACATAAATTCCACGGCAATTAACTAAAGAGAAGTGTTGTCTTATGAGTGGGGACCATGTGCTACATTGAAACGCTCCGCGAGGTCCTAAAGCCAACTCCAGCGCCCATTATCGTTTCACACGCAGTGTCAAGCGACCAGAAACAAGCAGTACAACTTCCGATTCCAGCTTTCAATATACAGCCCGAAATGACTATTATAATGCACGTTTGCAATAATGTGTGCACATGACTGTTAATGACTCATTAACACGAGTAAGGTCCAGACCTGCTCTTTTATGATAATTGCTATGAGATAACTGATTTGGCGCTATATAAAACTGAATTGAATTGAATAATGTTACTGTGTTTTTCCCTCTCATTTCACCTATCATAGGCTTAATAGAATAGCCTACCAATTGGTTTTCCTAAAAAGTGGTAGATTGAGCGTGAACGTTCATTGTCATTGTCTTGGGAAATAGTTTGGAAAAACAATTTTTACTCACTTTCGAGCTTTTATCATGAGATGCGATTGAAAACTTGCAAAAAAAATCTAGCACGTGGACATCATTTGCGGCTTTCCTTTGTTTCATATCATTGCAAACTGAATATTAGAACAAAACCAGACAAAGCATGCAATTAAGCCTTGCACTGTCAGAAGTGGTGTACTCAAAGAGCTAGTAAATTGACCTTGTTAAAGTTCACTTTAACCCTTATATGTGCAGTTGTTCTTAAAACTGCCTGGATGGTGCAGGACACAGAGCGTTTTATTTTGAAAGCAGACCACTTTATTTCCGGCCTCTCTCTTGGTGTCCTTTGCTGAACATGACCCAATGGGCTCGATAGCCGCACACATACTGTAGCAGCCCACATTGTGAATTTGAATAATATAGCCTACACACCCCTCACTCACAGATGTTATTATGGATACATGTTGTTATTCAGTCAGAGTAAAGCTGACACTTGCAAATCCAGCTGAATCTGTCCACTGTATCCATACATGCAGGCTAGGTTCCTCTCCAAAAATTGGACAGTCTGTTCTCTGTGCAGGCTACACAACACACCCCAGAAAGTGGCCATACTTTGAACAAATCGACATATTTAAATGTCAGCATTAAATATATAATGAGACTCACAACCAGCTACTTTAATGCACTGTGGTGTTCTAAAAGATTACTGTAGGCCTGCATGGACATGCATATGGACTTGGCCCATTCAAACACCACATGGTCATCCACTTCAGAAGAGAATGCAGGCAGAAAGCGGGCAGATGTACACGCAGTCTAGGTTCCTTAAATCTCCTTAAACAGGAGAAAATCAAAGTACTGCACCCCAGGTAGGCTACAGTGTGCTCCCTGCATAGAGACTTGAGGTAAAGTCACAGTAGCACATCCAATTGCTGCCTCAAACTGTTTGAAATATAGGAACTATAGGGTGCAGACTAGTGTCATGATGCTCAGAAAACTCCATTTCTCAAAACTCGTCCTTTTAGGTTCAAATATGAATGGAAATACAAGAATACTGAGGAGTATTTCTCTGCATGTTGATTTTGCTGGAACTCAACACTTGGCTATGGGATGGTACAAAAAGCTGATCTTTTGCTCTTTTTGAGAACCAGGCAGATGCTTGGAGGAAGATGATAAGGTGTAAAGAGGAGCTGGCAGTAAAATAGGGCTTTCTGTTAGTGTGCTAGGACAGATATTGCTCAATAATAAATCCCTGCTTTATCAAAGTTTTTCCATCTATCCTCTGTTATTATGTCGATGCAGTTGGGAGGGAAAAAAACACAACTTTTCACCAGTGCTTTGAGAAAATTTATGGTCACATCTGGAAGAAAATCAAACACGATATCTAAACACAACCCAAATAAAAATACATATTATTAAATTCAAAATATAAAATACATAAAGTTGAAGTACAAAGATTGCAGTATTTTTTATGTTATATTGCATAGTGAAACCTTTGTAAAGTTGAATAGAGAAAACACAGTAAATAACCTTCAAGCTGCAATTATGGTTCAGAGTTGTTGTTTTCTACTTTCTAGTCTACATTTACATTTTAGAAAGAAGAAACAATTATGATCTATGTGAGTAATGTTACTAATAATCTCCTACTGTCCACATACACCTACACGATAAATGTGCACTGTCATGAAATAAGGTTTACAAAAATAGTCAGTAGCAATAATCTTCTCTCTTCTCCAAGTCATCAGTGCAAATTAAGATGGATGAAACAGTTAAGACTATAAAAGAATTCCATCTTAAAGGCTAATGAGCAAAAAAACAATTAATTAATAATGAAAAGAGTGTCTTCTCAGTGTATTACCCAAAAAATAAATATTCACACTCTCACTTTTAATTTATGCCCGGCTCTATCATGTTGCCGAGCAGCACTTTCACTTTGGGTCAAAACACACAAATCTAAATCTGCAATGGCAGCACCCAGTCCATCATGAGACAAAGACAGAGACAAAAGCTCCATTCAGATCGGCACTGTCCATTAAGAGGGCATTTCCACCCAGAAGAGGTCACACATTCCTCCATCTTACAGCTAATGGCTGGCACTGAATGACGGCAGAGCCCACTTCAGGCTTCTTTCTGCTTATTGGTTGTATAATGAGGGCGATGGTTGAAGACTGTCCTGGATGAGACTGTGAAGCATAATAAATGATTCTGTCTTATATCACTGCTTCACATCACATGAGATCATGTGAAAGTGGCTGCGTGAGGACATCAGTGCTTTATCGTGCAGTGAGAGGTTACTCTGCATCCCATTACATGAAGTATTCTGGAAAGAAAGGCAATTTGCAATCAAGTGAAAACTTGATAACACTGATAAACAGCATGCGTTGCTGGTTTAGATGTTGCATCAAAAGCCTATCAGTCAGTGTGTTCATAAGGTTCAATCTGACATTTGATGACAACCAAAGCAGAGTGTTGAGACGTGATTTCATGCAGTACATTCATTTTGGCTACCTTCATTTGTAATTGCATCCAAGGGCAGCTAGGACAGCTGAGTCACAGAGATATCCGTTTTCCTCAAAAGACAGAACTATGGCAATCTTTCAGAAACCCAGAAGGTCATTTAACAACCCTTGTTCTTAAGGTATTTCCAGAATCCTTAAGGAGTCCTCCACCCAAGTGCTTCAAATATATTTAGTCATACTATTATACTGCATATGACTTTAACACACTTAACTTGTCCCAAACTGCTTCTTTATCTAAACAAAGATGGACATATATCTGGACATATTAACAAAATAAAAACGCTTTATTATCAGGTTGGCTCATTTATCAGCGTTAACATTATATTTATGTGGTGGAGATGCGTCACTTTTGCCAACCATTTTCGCCAACCACCTTTGTGCATCAGATTTTTTTCCCCCAGAAGAGTCTTTGATGGCCATGGAAAAACCTTCAAAACAGCAGTAAGTGATGTTAAATGACCTTCTAGGTTTTTTAAAGATTGCCGTGTATTTATATTTAAGAAAAACAGATATTAAGCTCTGTGACTCAAATGTTAAGCAAATACATTAGAGAAAAACAAGGCCAAAAGGACAGTTAGTTAAATCATGATCAACATTGTTTTTTTAATTTATATTCAGCACTGTCAAAGGGCAGAGTTCACTTTTGTCAGTCATTCAGATTTACTCTTGTGAAGAATCTGATCCAACAGTTTCTGCAATAAGAAAACAAAATATACAGATTACTAAAATATTATGACAGAATGATGGCTATAGATCACCAGTCTAGTCCTCATAAACGCCATGTGGCTTTGTTTGCAATGCAGGCAAAAAACACACAAACACATACATTCTCTTCCAGTTTCAGATGGGAATCAAACAGTCCTGTACAGTTCAGGTTTCCAGCTCCTCTTTCAGGACCTGCTGGATCTCATGCATGGACCCTCTTCCCTGTCTTATCTGCCACAGCAGCAGTGTGGGTGGAGCAGCTGTGTGTAGGCACCCACGCTGTCTGCAGCTCGGCTGAATGGTGGCACTGCACTGTAGCTCTCTCTGCCACTGAAGGGCCTTTTGTTTCACCAGGAACACAGGCCTCATACACTCAGCACAATGAGACCGTTCAGTTTCTCACCATAATGAGAGAAAGGGTGTGGGGTGCAGTGTGAACGAGAATGACTAAAACTTCGTTAGCGAATCAAACTCTGTTCTGTAAAGGCAGATGGTTATTGACCATACAATAAAAAACAACTCAGAAGACCTGCTTTACATGTTGCAGATGCCTCTGGAGTGTCTTTTTTTCAGGTTTTCTAATCAATGCAAGAAAGTAGTAAAAGTTAGGCAGCAGAGACCTCTGGTGGAATAATAAAATAATTGTTCTGAAAGCAGAGATGCTCAAGAAATCCTTCAACAGCTTAGATATTCAATGTAATGTAGTGACTCCCTTTGGAAATAAACAGATCTGACACTAAAAAATGTTTTCAATTGTCTATGACAATTTACCAAAAGTAATACTACTGCAACCCTACAAATATTATTATCAGATCCTGATCCAGATATTTAATTTTAAAAAACAAACCTCAACATAAGAAAATCCAGAAATACACGGTGCACTCCATCCACCCCCTTATTTTCAGTGAACTATAATTGAGTTGGTAGTTGGTAATTTGAAGCCATTATTTCCAAAAAATGCTGCATTATTACTATAGCCCTTTAGTGTTGTCCATTACTGCAAAATGGTTCACCCTTTGCAAGGTTTAATTGAGCTTGTAGGAGAAAGGTGTGTTATTACTTGCTCAATTGCGTGTGGGCCATATATACAGTTAATGTTCTGTTCAGTGTCTCAGGCAAGTAGTTGTTAACACTGTGGCGAGATGTTTTAAGCTCATTTGCTTTATTCCATTTTTTCAGGTTGATTCAGTGCATCATTTCTGCAAACACATTCATAATAACTTCGGGGAGATTAAATTGGGCAGATCTGGAGCTGAAATATTAAGAGATGGCCACTGGAATATAAGAATCAGCCTGTTTGCACTAATGTAAGCTTGCTTCAGCTCTTTACTGAAACTATTTGATGTTAGCATAATGAAATATTAAAACCCAACACTCCAAGCTTTTCAAGGCACCATTCCATAAAATGGAAATATTTTAGATGTCTTTTGACATATTTGGAAACTTTGGGATCTTCCCAAGAATTTTAAATAAAATTATGTGGGTTTGAATGACATTTGACTGCAGGTTAGTGAGGTTTATTGGGTTTATATTATCTGTGTTTTGACAAAATATAAAAGGACTACCTTTTTGAAGAGTTCAACTCGCTGTCTGTTGCTCAAACACACCTCCATCTTCTTCTTTTCCTCTTTTTGCTTCTTCACCGCTGCAAGGGTACTGTAACAAAATTATCATTTTGTGTCTTTTATCACACATATTGTTGGTAGGGTCATATACGGTTGATTTTTAAATAAAATTGTACCAAAAAATATGTATCTATTATCCAAAAACAATATTTGTCAACCCAAAATTAAGTCACCTATAATCACCTTTAATAGCTAAATTTAAGTATATTTTCTATGCTTTCTGAAAAAAACATAATTAGAGAAAAAGTCTTGGCAGAGAAACAAGCGCAGCATATTTTGTATAGAGATGCCACTGATACAGGCTCTGCCTTAATATGCAAAAGCAAAACAAGAGATAAGGATGAATCTGCATCTGACAGGGTGCCAAGGCAGAGATTGAGATGGAACTCACCGCTTAGATTTGAGCTGCATCTCTTTCCCAGTAATGGCTCTATCTCTGGATTTGAAAAGGTTATCTGGAAACACGAGCATGTACGCACACATTCACACACAGGCAAACGCACACATACACAATGCCGATTGAGTTGAAGTCTCAAAAGCATGGCAGTAAATCACAAGAGACTGGAAGCCTCACGATCATATATAAATCTCCAGAAAGAGCAGACAAGATGATCTTGAATAAAGAATTCCCCTTTCTCTACCAGCTTCTCAAGACATTTTATGTAATATACAGTACTTTTGCATCACCATCATGTAAGAACTTTGAGTCACCATAAACATTATTATATATGTTCGTCAGATGATGAACACTCAGATAAAATAGTGTGATTTTTAAACTTGCTGTACTAGTCTTAATCTGTCACTTTCCCAGCTCTCATTGACCCACTGGTGTATGTTTCTCTTACAGCCAGTAGAGGGCAGAAAAAGCTACAAAATCACTGTCACAAATCTTTAAATTCTTTATTGTTTACTGTGAAGCCTGGCACTCCAAATGGAAATCCCATTAGACAGAACACTGCACCCAGAGCCTAATGACATTTGAAGGTCACAGAATTTCACTGAAATCCAATGCTGGCAATCATTCTGAATATTGCATGTTCAATGGAGGGTATATATATGTGGAGTTTGGGTCCAAGTATGTATGCAATAAAGGCATTTGTTTCATCTTACTTCAAGTGCTTTTTATTTATTGTATTTTGTCACAGCTTAGCCAGGTGTGCTAGTTCTCTCCTTTATGTTTTTTTCTTTACAGTTGGTCTAAATAGTTTAGATGATATCAGACTGAAAATATCCTTTTATTTTTTTTTTTACAGTTAAGATATTTGCCTGCTATGTGATCCATCCTGAATATAATGTATTATTTTCTTTATGTTATTCATTTCACTTCTCTATGCAATTTCTGTAACTTAATTTATGTACTTGGGAAGGAAATTTAATTCAGCATCATTTTTTGCTATATCTATTAAAATTCTTACATCCTGACAGTGATAGCTCAGCCCAGCCAATCATTTCATTTTCATACCTGCCTGTCTATTTACCTACTTCCCTGCCTACCTGCATACACTCTGCTCGTGCACTATTTGTCCAAGAAAATGTGTTTTGGGGGAGTGACTTTGGAGGGAGGCGGTGTTTTTTTTTTCGATTGGATACAGTTTATGGTTGGATACTTTCAAAATCTAGCTATCTCTAGCTAGTTTCTTCAATCTTGCCTTTGATCATAATACAGAATTTTGATAAGTTTGCCTTTCATTGAGTAGTTGTGGTAGATTGCCCTGTCTATAACTACTGCTAACTCGGAATTTTGAGTTTCAGTGGAGAATTTTTTGTGGATTTAGCACGCCCTTAAGCAGAAAAATAAACATGAATATATTGTAGAATTGAGCACCAGCATATTAAATATAAAAATATGGATATGAGCCTTGAAAAACAACACATATTGGCTGACGATTACCACCCTTGCTCTTTGTTCTGTGTCTGTATGTGTGTGATTGGTCATGTGGCAAACAGCCACTGCAGCTGAAATGGAACAATGAAGCAGAGAGGTGAGGGTGGCTGTTGGCACAGTACCGCTTAGAGCGGTGGATCGGGCCCTGTGGGCTCTCATCTGAGCAGCATCCGACTGTGGGTCTACTGAATCCGCCAGCTCCCTCCTCTCCTGTGCCCTTCGCTCAAGCTCTTGCAATCTGCCCTGGGAACGACTGATGAAGTCTGGTCTGGACCTCTGCAGTGCTTCCTGCCAAAACCAGAAACATATTGCTCTTCATGACAAAACATTAAGAGCATTTCAGCATTTCCTCACCTGCTACTGTGGCAGGTCACTGGATTATTTTGTCTGCCACTTCTAAAATCTATGTAGAACACTTCAGAATTGTAAACACTGAGTCAGTGGTACCTGACAGTAGATTTTACCTGCCACAGCCAACATTTACCCTGTATTTTGCAGGTGGCAGGTGCTAATTTCATTCCCTGACCCATTTCCACCTCTACCCACCCCAGAATATAGCCCTTAGGCATCCCATGGAAAACTCCAAAGCCAGTATAAATGTGTCATCCCCGCTGACATTGTAGTGTAGTTCAGTGGTTGCCAGCCTGGGGGTCAAAATCCCCGAAGGGAGCTATAGGGTAACTTCGGCATTTTCAGCCTGGATCCCATTTTCCCATTTTTTTGTGTCTGTGATTAACTGGGACAACATTTTTTGAAATTGGCACTGCAGTCAGCAGCAGCAGAACAGGGCTGCAATGTAATCCTTCCCATCAAAGTACGTCCACTAAAATGCTTGTTTTTGGCACTGAAATTCAAGAAAGGGACATTACTATTTGGTTATACTAGTTGCACCACACGAACACATGCTACAAAGTAAAGGGTCACATAAATGTTAACTTGTGTATCTATTCCCAACCATGATAGTTTCATTAGCTAAAAAATACCCCTGAACTCACCTGTAGAGAAATAGTTTCAGGTGACCTTTCAGGGTCAAGACTCATTGGAACAAATGTAGCATGAGGCTGGTTGTGGTGCTGGACTGGGCTTTGATCTGGATGTGGCTTCATACATTTCCCCTCATCTCTCACTACCAAGGCAGAGAAAATCAAATTGATTGCATCCCACTTACACGTGGCTTGGCTTCTCATGCCTGAGCATGATACACAGTTGCTCAATAGCCCTCTGGGACTGCTATGAGATATTACTTCTTTGTATGAATAAAATAGGCACAGTATGTAAGAATCAATGAATTTCACTGTATCTGTATTGATTCAATCAAAGAGGTAACTCTGAAAACAAAGTGTTGAGCTTGCAACATTTTCAGTTAATTGTAACAAAGATCAATGTTTTATAAGGTGAGAAATTATGATTACATATGAGGAAGACAGAAGCAATAATACCAGTATTTCCCTGGGGTGATGCAGTGGAGTGCTTCTCAGAATTGCCATTTGTTGTTTTTTTCTTGCTAAGTTGTCTTTGGAGTTTGATATTTGCTATGATCGCAGCTGCGTTGAGGGCTAGCACTTCTTCTGGAGACTGATGTGAGTGGGGATCTGAAACACAAGAGGACTTTTATGCGGCTGAGGAGTAAGTAAAGAAGTGTCTGATATTGAGCCACCTTTAGGCTGCCGTGCACCACAGGCAGATTTAAACACAATTTCATTAAGTCCTGCCTCATTTGGAGGTTGACTGTATCAAACATTGAATTTAAATTATGTTGCCTCAGCCCTCTGTAATTAATTGATGACACTGTTAATGAATGTGATTAAAGAATAATTAATCATTTCACGCAGAGAAAAGACATCATGAATAAAGAAACACACTTGCTCAGCAGAAAACTCCCTCCTCACATTACTAATTCACCTGAATATTCAGAATTCCTGAACAATAGCTTGAGCTGTCTCTTTCAGCCATTTTATATAATCAAACTGTATTCTTGTTACTTTTGAGGATATAGTACTAACTTACATCCATTAACAACTGTACTCTTGAGACTTGACTGCCTAAACACTTGACCTCAGGCTTAAAGCAAAAAAGTCCCAATTTTTTAAATCCTGGAGCAATTAAAGATAACAACACCAGGCCTTGTATGGCCCCACATTATTTTGCTAAAGCATTGAACAATGTTGCATCTTGATGTGCAGTTTATTTATGAAGACTTTATATATCTTGAACGACTTTAAAAAAGACTTGTACTTGCCCCACAATACTCATTCCGTAAAGGAGAACAGTTTGGCTTTTTTTTCCTTCTCTTTTTCTTGCCAAGAGTTAGATGAGAAGATCAATTCAACTCTTTTATTTTACATTAAATATAAAGCTATAGACAAGAAATTGTTAGCTTAGACTAGCGTAGAGACTGGAAGTACAAGGAAAACAGCCAGCTCTGTCCAAAGATAAAAAAAATCCACGCCCCAGCACATCTACAACATGTGGAGGCTCTAGGGAGTTTCTGTGCCCAACCAAGAAAAATATATAAAACCACATAATCCCCAATGAAACCATAAATGGTCATGTTTTCATTTTGGATGTTTGTACGCGCTAATCAAACGACATTTAATGTGAGCTGTAGAGGTACTGGGAGGCTGATTTTATGTATCTTTTAATCTTTAGACAGGGCCAGGCTAGCTGTTTCCCCATGTCCACACAAATCTAATAGTGGCATTGCAGGGATCTCCCAAATACTTTATTTTCACCATGTTTAGCAGCTTGTGATTTCGCCTCTGTGCTATCATTGAAAAGGGGAACTAGAATAGATTATACATGCAAAGAGATGTGTGGGGAAATGAACGAAGGTGAAAATGAGAAATCATCTCATTAGTAGGTGCTGATGGGCCTCTGCAACTAGGCGATGCTATTTGACAGCGGCACAGATATCTGGCATGGCATATAATCTAATTATACCCATCAATAAGACATCAAAGGTGAAAGACCTGAGTGTTCAGCCCCAGACCCCTGAAGTGTGTAATAACTTTGAGCTAGAACACACAAATGGCACAATGTTGTATATTTAGACATTGCCATCCTTTCAAAATGGAGATCAGAGACAAAGTGAGCCTGTGTGCTGACAAGAAGACTGTCAGAGTGGGATAGAGAAACCTACCCGGGGCCTTGATCAGAGTTAGACAGGAAGACGCTCTCCTCACAGCATTCTCTGGCGGCAGTCTTTCTTTCCCGCCTCCGTTCGGCATAAGGGTGTCTGCCACTTGCTGACCTGCTTTTTTCACTGCTGGTCGAGGGCTGATGAAACTACTGTTGGAGTTCACAGGGTTGATATTGGTCTCTTGTGGAAGCCCAAAGCTCAATTTCCTGGCAGATGGTTGTGTCACATTCTCCTTGCTTTGCTCAGTGTGTCCAAACACATTGCCATAGCAGCTCAGCGGTCTGTGCGGCCTGTCCGATCTCTGTCCAACAGCCTTTGGAGAAACCTCTGAGGGAGTGGGTGCTACTGTAGGGGAGGTGCTCACAAAAAGTGTCATTGTGGACCTGTGTAGTGTTCCACTGTTTCTCTCTGGATCTGGAATGGATGTATTTGGTGCTACAGCAGAGTTTGACCTCTTTGTGGATTCCAGATGGTGATATGAAGATGCTGCATTGTGTTGTGAATGGTTTCCCTGACTCCACATGCTGTTTTCCTTGTACACTCCCTCTGTGTAGCTGTGTCTGTACTCTGGGTGCCTCGTCTCAGATCCGACCCTGGCTGGACTGTAGCTCTCCCTGTGCTCTGTCACTTTGATGATGGTAGCCTTTCTTCTGTGGACCACTGTGTCCAAAGCATGGCTAGCTGGTGGGGTTCCCGCCCTTTTTGTGCTGAGGACAGGGCTGGACACCATGCTTTGTTCTGTCACTTTGACTATCATGGCTTTCCTCTGCACTGTGACCTGAGTGGAGTTTGGGTCCATGGACTGGTGGGATAGTTGCGTAGAAGCGACTTTGCTGGACTGGGAAGAGTGGTTGCAGGTGTGGGAGCCAGGTAAACTGGCCGATCTGCTCACTTTCTTGGAGGAGATGGTGATGGAGGAGAAGCCGGCTTTGTGCTGAGGAATGATTGTAGTCACAGCAGAGCTTGTCTGTATGTGTGAGGGCTGTGAACTACTGTTTGTTCTACATAGCGGGGCTGTTGCCCTTATAGGCTGAACATTGCTTGTCCTATACAAAGGAGAATACGACTTGTGTGTCTCTGTGCTGTTTGTCCCTTGCAGTAGAGTGTGTGGTTTGCAGGGATCAGCAAAAGTATGCTTGAGGGGCTCTGTGCTGGCTGTTTTCATCAGAGGGGGCTTCCTGTTGGGGACTAAGCTGGTCTCTGTGGGGAGCTCATTGGTCTGACTGCCTCCAGGGAAAGCTGACACCCTGTTGGTAATCCAGCCTCTCCTTAGAGCTTGCCAGCCTACTGGTCTGTCCCCTTCGTTTGCAGGAAAGCTTAGTTTTTCTGGCACCTACAGCATGTGGATAAAAGAGATTCTATGTGATAAATATCCTTAATTATGCATGGAAACCCTATCCCACCCTCCTGTTGTTGCTAATGTCTCTTGCTAAATGTTCAGTCATTAACCAACACAATAAAATAAATGTTGTACATTCATCCTACCAATTTGAGCTTCCGTTTTGAAGTGACAAATACAGAAAATAGAGCAAAACCTCATTTAATATGGCATGATATACTGACAAAATGACATCTCTCTAATACTACATTTCCACAGCGAGTCAGATGTCTTGTCTTTCTTCAGGGCTTTGCTGTTTGTCTTTAGTCAGATGACTCTTCCCATGCTTGACACAGTGAATGCCCCAATAGCAATGGAACCAGCAGGCAAAGCCAGCAAACAGCGTGACTTATCCCTCACAGAATCACAATGAGACTCTATCCTCGATAGAAATTGAGAGGCCAAAAGCAAAGATTCTGGTCCTTGGCTAGAGGATTCCTATGGTGTTTATAGAGAATGGAGAAATGCCGATATGTCCCTGTTGCCAGCAGGTTTATGATGTGACATACCTTCTTGATACCTCATTTATCAATGTTATATAAGTAGTACGAGATTAGGCCATTTGTTATGTTTCAGAAATTTCAAAAAGCTCTGACCATGCTTTTTGCACAACACCTTATGGCTGTCAACAAAATCATGAAAGACATAAAATATATACCAGCTAAACTGTGTATAAGGCAACAATTAGTCATTATTTGTCAGCAGTATAAAATGTCTACTTTTGCATTTCTTTGTGCAAGTGCTGCACCAGTCAACACACATACACTGACATACTTGATAATATTGGTCCATAAAGCCTGTCGCCTTTGTGTTGGCCATAAGTCTTTTTTCATTTCAGAAACTGTTCTGCATTTCAATAAGGCACTGTTTGTAGAAGCTTTGACCTGCCATATTGTCTCTGGTTTGTTAAGCCACTCTTTCAAGTTCGAGCATCTTTTATTTTATGTTCTACAATGTGAAAACTTTTTCATATTTGACCGCTTGGACTCATAATTGAGTGTCATTTCCCTCAGCTTTTGAAGGGATGGCTTGCAGCGTAAGTGATTATTTATTGGCATTTCTTCATGTAAATGAGACTGTCTCAGCACTTACTGTAAATGAGGAGTCAGAATGTGTAGGAGTCTAGGTGTCCAGGAGGCAAGCAAAAATGAAACAAATGAAGTACAAATGAAAACTACAGACATTTACATTTTTCTTTGTAGAAGTGAATTTAGACCTTTCAACACAGTGTTGATAAATCAGCCCTTTGGTATATCCAATATTGTGAGTGTCTTACTAAGCTAACACTGAAACACTAAATCCATCATGGTTAGAAATTGGAGACAGGGGCCTAAGCACTGGAAAGCAGAATGTAACACTAGCATTAGAAGAATTAATGTCAACTCAGTATTCAGACATACAATGCACTGCCCAACATACACAGATATCCACCATAATATTCTACAATTGTTTTACCGAGTTCAATGTAAAAAAGAAAAAAGAAAAGGCATAAAAAATCATACCAGAAGTGTTATCAGTTACCTTTTTAATAATTAGAGAGCCTTGATCTGGTGTCTGCCACGTCTTCACACCCAAAGCGCTCGGACCAGCATAACTTCTGTCAACCTCTCCATCTATGTATCAAGGCAAAACAAATTATTCTCAGTTACATTCCTCACACGATCTCTTGCTCTGTCCTTTTCTCTTTTACACACACACACACACACACACACACACACGACAGACAATCATCTGACTGTGTGACAATGTTGACACTATCAATAATGGAAGTTGGCATAGTAAAGTGAATCTAGCACCACCCCAGAGCCACTTTTCTGCTTCCTCAGGAGACGCAGCAACTTGACTGGTCTGCCTCTCAGCCCTGACTGATACTCTATTGCCACCCTGAATGCCTGCCTGGCTGCACTTCCACCTGCTGCTGTTACCATGGCGACTGGCTCTCACTTTGGGATAACCCTTGAATGCGGAGGATAATGTGTGGTGTTTTTCATTCTAAGGGAGAAAACAAGAGACAAGCTGAAAATCGCACCACTTTGCAAATGTGATTAAGCTGAAAAACAAAAGAAAAGTGTCTTAGAAGTGTCATAAAGGACTCTAGTCTTTCTGACACATTGTTCCACATGCTGTCGTCCCTATATGTCTCATTTTTCTCTATAAAATGCCACATGCCAACTTGTGCCCCCCCCCCACCCCCCGAAAGAGCTTTTCTTATTAGCTCTACAGGCTGAGCTCAAATAACCATTTTTTTCTGAATCAACAGCTGACTTTAATATCCCAGGGAAAAATAAAGAAGGAAGGCCATATGGCAAATACCCTGTGAAGTCTACACCCTCCCAATTTATTCCTCATCCTTATGAGTTTATCTAAAAAGTAAGTGTGAGCCGTGTGAAAATTGACCAGCCTGTCTAAACATGAAGTCCCTTGGAGTACAAGATCCAATTTTATTATCATTTGCTCATTAACATCAGGCCATTTTAAGTTTGTTAAATGTGACTTTTATGGAGGGAGAGGGCACTAAGAGACTGCAATGAGACCTCAAGTCTGATTAAAACTTCTGCAAGGGTTGTCGGCAACAACCAGACAGAGAGGAAAAAAAGGGTGAGAAATAGGAGGGATAATTTGCTAGCTGGAGTGTAACCAAGCCATTTGTTGTTGGAATAATTGCTGTTGAAATTTCTGATAGTTTCATTTAGTTTCAGATGCAGAATTGTGGATTTAAATGTTCTGACAGCTGAGTAAAAGCAACTAGCATCAAAACAAGACATATTTGGATGCGGCCCTGCATAGAGATTTTTGTTTCTTGTTTATCATCTTTCTTCATCTCATTGTTGGGAGTTCAGCCGTGGCCAATTTGTCTACGTGCACCTGCACAGTATTGTTATTCACTGTGAAGTAACTAAAAATATGAATATTTATGGTCCATTTGATTGACTTGCAAGATATTTATAGTGATCGAAGAGCATCACTGGAAATATTGTATGCAAAGCCACAAGTTGTATTTTCTTCAGTTATTCTTTCATACATGATGGTTCCTCATGTTTCATCATGCTTTTACAGTATATCACTCATGAGGATTGGTAGAAGGAAAACATACCTATATTTTATACCATATGGATGTGGTAAATGATAATTGATAAAAGTCTAACATGAGTATAATTTTCATTATGTCAACACAGCCTGTGCATGTAGATTTTAACTAACAGCACTTAAAAACACCTGCATTTTCTATCAAAGTTCCTTGCTGCCATGGATGGATTGCTTTGATTTCTGAAAGCAGCCTGAGCCCTGCAAAGATAATCTATGTATAAACAACGACAAGGTTGGAAGATCAAGCCCCAGATCAAACCCAGAGAGTGTGGGGATGCCATGTTGAAAGATTAACAGGGCTCTTTCTCTAATCAGTCTGCATCTTTCCTTATCTTTCTGCCTCTCACTCCCCATTCCAACCCCCCCAGTCCCACCCCACCATCTCTTTTCGTCACCTTTTCAAACCTAATAGTGCTGATTTCCTTTTCCTGACTTTGTTTTGGGGGGTGTTGTTTTAAGGGATCCATCCAGACAGTCAGTTTGGAGCGTGTTAAAGCAGACAGGGGCAACACTGCTGCAAGGAGCTGATTAGAGGCAGGTATAGTGTGTGGCAAGTCAGCCCTGAAATAAGCTCTTGTTCTCCCTTTGGCTAACCCGGCCCCTGCAGTTACTTTGTGGCCATATTTGTTCTAGCACTGATCAGGCATTAAACATCAATTGAAATGGAACCTTTGTGCATTTTGGGAAATGTTTCAGTGGTGCAAGAGAATTACTTCATAGTTTTAAATTTGGTTTTATGTTTTGCTTTAAAGTATGACTCTTCCATAATGATCACACTCACATGCTCACAAGTTATGAGGGTATTTGCTTTTTACTATACTGAAAACCCAGCTGTTATACAAGAGATTGCAAACTGATTCAGCAAATTGCATGTCAGTATGTAACTTTTTATATACAGTCTACAGTACATACCCTGGTTGCTATTGGCTGTTGCTCTATTCTTCTGAAATGTTGGAGTGATGGACTGTTTCAGTTTCACCTGTGAAAGAAAGGCCCATTATAAGATGTTACCAAAAAAGTACATTTTCATCAGTATTACCTGGCCTATAAAAGTAGATTTTTGTTTGGTAGGTCTGGGCATCTGATACATTTAAAACAATAGTTTGACCTTTGTGAAAAACACTTACACACTAAACACACTTACTACGAGTTAGATGAGAAGATCAATATCACTCTCATGTTTGTATGGTAAATATGAAGCTACTGCTACCGTCAGCAGTTTAGTTTTTCACAAAGACTGAAAATGGGATAAAGCTAGCCTGCCTCTGTCCAAAGGTAAGAAAAAAACATACCAACACCTCTAAAGCTCTCTAATTAACATGTTATATCTTGTTTGTTTAAACCCTTATTAAAAAAATGGATAAATAACAAATCTAGGTTAGCTATTTCCTTTTGTTTCCAGTCTTTGTCCTAAACTAAGATAAGCTCAACGGCAACTCCATATTTACCATACAGCCGTGAGAGGGGTCTAAGTGGTCGATCTCCTTATCCAACTCATGGTAAAGAGTGTATTTCCCCCAAATTTCAAACTCTTCCTTTAAGCATAATCATCTCTCAGAACTAGGGCTCATAAAAATCAGTTAAACCAACTTTGGATTTAAGTTAATGTTGTGAAAACTTCACATAATATTCTTTCCCCGTTGAATGGTCAGACAAGGGAAGGGACGTGCTTTATACATCAGTTCAGTCAAATCTCTGGTACAGTATGGCAACTTATTGATTTTGAAGTCATATTATCAGTTCACTAGGTAATACTCACATTGAATTTTCTCTGTACATTGACTTTCATCCTCTCAGAGCACAAAACTCAATCTCTGCTGCCACAGCTCCAAATGAGTCGTAAACCTTTTGAGAATGCATGGAGTTGCTGCAGAGTAAGCTGTTTTCAAAGGACGCCAGAGCTCTGCCTTCTCCCTGGGTAACTGAGACTTGACTACAAATGGCTCTCTGTGGCAGAGTGTGTTTTAGTCTGCCTTGCCTGGCATTACGCACCATCACCTCCATTACACAGCACTTTACCTTCAGACTCGCAGAGCTTACACTGTCTCACTAGCATACAAGCATCACAATCACACAGTCGAAGAGGATGTCGGTGCCAAATCCAGGGTAAATCAGTCCAGTGTCTTTACAAAGGCCTGTTTTAAAAGGTTGATACCCTAAAGAACAGACACAAAAGCTGCTCTACTAGGTATAACTGAAGGGAGAATCATCAATGCTCCAAAATCTATCTCTGTAAGAGTAAGGAGGCCTGAAGCTAACTGAAAATGTACTGGGTTACTTACATTTAGAAGGCAAAGGGCATAACTGGCTGTATCTCTCGAAGTTCTTGAAATTGTTCTAAGCATAAAACTCCTGCTCGTTTAGAAAGCTTTCTGAATATATGTTTAAGGCTTTGTTAGGTCTTATGTGTTTTACCTGGCCAGCAGAGTGGTCCAAAAACTGGTTTTGGTGGCAAGAATCAGCCACAATCACTTTTCTTTGGATAGGCAGCCACCCAATTTTGACTGGAGCAAGAGAACACAGTTGAACGTGCTCCTTCCTTGGGGCCTGCATGATATGAGCCCTCTCCCAGCTTCCTCTGCACTCTGGAGGAGAAACAAACCCAGTTTGGATGGAGTCCTGGCTACCCAGCGAACTCTCACACAAGCTGGGACTCCCACATGAGGACGAACCCCTGCTGAAGGAAGGGATCCCGGGCTGTCTCCAGGCACGTCCGGTTGGCTTGTCAAGAGCAGGCATAGATGTTGTCCGATCACTGAAAGCTGGAACCTGATGAACTGGGGCTCTGAGCACGTTGCTCTGCATCCTCTGCAGGTGCTCTAGCCAGCTGTCCAGCTGGCCTCCTTCAATGGCACTCTGGGGCCGACGTGCATGTGGGGGGCGAGAGACACGGGGCAAAACCTCCCCGTCTGATATTAAGCTCTCCCAGTAGGACTCATCTCCCGATCTCCTCCAGGCCGGAGCTCTTCGTAGGTGGGCAGCTGGCCTGCGGAGAGTCATGCCTCTGGAGCTCAGGTAACCACTCACAGCTCTCGAGTTTCAGCCCACGATAAAAGCCTTTTATAGTGAAGGTATTGATGAGAATCCCCTGGCTTAATTGGACTTCTTACCATGAGGCATGCCAGAAGTGCACGTCAGGGAATTAGTAGCTACAACAATACTCGAGGTCATCTTTGTTATCAATCTGTGAGAAGGATTAAGAATGAAAAATAAGTACACATTATTGTAGATTGTAAGACTTACTTCAATTTCCTGCTTTTATTACACCACTCCACAGTGCTGCTGATACTATTACTTACCAGATACTGACAAACCATCCTTTTTCACTTGCTTCCGAATCTCCTCAGTCCTTGCTGCTTAGGAAGTAAACACTCTCTGTCTTGATATAAACTAGGTGCTAGTGGGTACTGTCTCCAGTCAGGCATGTAGTAATGTGAGGGATGCTTTTGTGAACAAAAGAGTTACTGAGCACAAGGGCTGAACATCCAGTACAGAGAGAGGGATATGGAAAGAGACAGAAGGGTGGGCGGGCTCAAAGAAAAAACAAACACTTGTTGATGCAATGCTTGACGTAACAAGATCACTATTTAAACAAAGAACATCATTAACATTTAGTATCTTAATGATCAAGCCGTCTAATCTTGGGTTTATGCAAGTCACCACGCAATGTTTGAAAAAAGGCCTTACAAATGATAGAGCATCGCTAATGAGCAGATTATCCATGTTAGTCCATGAGTCACTTACTGCTTCAGAAATCTTCTTTGTTGAATTCCCCCTGTTTCTGGTCTTCCCTGTGATCTCGTGGTTGGTGGCTGATGGTGAGGCATTGCTATCCTCAAGCCTCTATCCAAGCCATGTGACTTTTGCAAGACTGTCTTTAAAAATGGGCCAGTGTCCTCTTGGATAAGTAACTGTGACCCACATGATGTCCCACAATGCATAAGTGAAAAGTATTTACAAGACAGACAACATGCCTCTAGCTGGAGGCAAGATTCTGCTTCGGATTTTATTTAGAGATAGTTATACACAGATCTGCACAGATACAATTCTTCTTCACAAAAAAGTTGTCAGTTGCTTTGATGTTTAATGAATTTCAGTGTTTCTCAGTGGATTAACAGTCCCCAGATGTCTTTCAAAGCTACTTCACTGCCACTCGGTGCAATAACATTTCCCAAATGTCTTTCAAAGACAGAGTTAAAACAGATATCTTAAATATCAATTGCTGTGACCTGCTTTAAGACACCTTATCAAGCTGAGAAGCTACATGCAGAAGGAATATTCAATGATGTAAAGCAATTTGCATCTTTTTGTCTGATCTGCTTGGGAGATAACATCAAAACAAATCAAAAAATCAAGGTTTAAAAGAGGTAGCTTCTTGTGTATGACAGTAAGTTTAAAAGCGGTGGTGCCCTCTGCTGGCAACACTCCAACATGACATGTGGAAGAAGTAAGAGCGACGCAGGGCAGAAGGTCATAAATTGTAGAGACTCAAAAAAATAAAAAATAAAAAATAAAAAAGGTTGGAGAGAATTCCCTAAAAAATGGGATGCAACCACAGTGTGCAATATTTGTGCAAAGAAAGATGAATAATGATGAGTGGATTCAAATGCGTGCCCCAGGTGCATCCCTTCTGATTCTTTTATTTAGCACCTGCAGCTCTGAGGAACAAATCTTAGTTAAACACATCACTGCTTTGAATAACAGGCTCCTATTGCTTCATCATGAAGCACAAAGACGGAAGGAAATACTGCAATAATGTTAATTTTGTGATTATCTTTTTACAATTATACTGTAAAAAGTTTTTGTTAGGCTTAAAATCTTAATTATATGTGTAATTATTGTCGTCTTAACTATTTTTGTTATTTCAAGCTGAGAAAAGCAGAAAAATTCTAATTTAGCTTATTTTATTATGTATTTTAATCCCATTGTCTATTGAATCTGTGGTCTTTGTTTTGGAAACCTGTGCTTTGTTTTTTGCAAGTATTATAAAGCCTAGTAAGGCATTATAAAACCAAACCAAGCCATGAGTGTTTCCTTTCATTTTTTTAAATTCACAATAGCCAACCGTTTTTATCAAGCTTACCAATAAAAGCGATAGATATGAAAAACTACAACATAAGAGCATATCTTGCCTATAAAAGATGTTTTCAAGTATTGGTGTATGTGATGACCAGCCAAATGTTTTATAGTGCACCTATCGTTTTATTTATCACCAGTTAAATCTTTATAAGAATATGCTGATGCAGACAAATCAGTCATATAAGACTTGTCATCAGTCATGTAGCACTTTCCACATCAGTATAAACAGCAGTGGAGGTTTAGCAGGGTGCCTACCGTATGAACGCCTACAGGGTGAAAAAGTTGTGTTCCCTTCCTCCCTCTTGCGGAGCGTCCTGTCAATGGTGGAAAATGGCTACTCGGAGTAGCTCCCCAAAGCTCAGAGAAAACTGAAAAAAAGTCCACATTAATAACAAGAAGTCACATCTGGACTTTTTCTAACAGGCTAAACGACAACTCGGGGAAGCCTCGACACTGAGAATGTCTCGCTGGGTGCCCACTAAAAAGGAAAAGTATGGTGTTGGTACGTAAGAAAACTTGCACGCTCCATCGTTAGCTCGTCCTAGCTCTCCGCTCAGATTGCACAAGTTTGGGAAAGATTGTGATTAGAAAGCGACCGGCTGTATTGTTTCTTATGTGGCTGTGTACGGGACTTTGGCGGCCAAACTGTAGGAATGCAAATTTTGTGTGTCGGGTATTTGCCTCCTAGTTTGCATTAAACGTAAAACAATGAATGTCTATCTCTATTGTGAGGAAGGGGACTGTGTGAGGATTGGGAATTGTTAGAGGCGCGCCTAGTTATAGCGCTGTTTCCTGTGTTATGGGGCCTCCGCTACAAACTAACTAGCTAGTATCGGTCTACGCATGATTTGAAACTGTTTGGTGGCTGTTTGTGTTTATTGCTCCGTCCTGTACAGATGGGAAGCCTTTTGTTGTTGGTTATTTATTGTCACTTCCTCAAATGCTTTGAAACCAGGCGTCCTGGCCTGAGAACACTGTCCCGTTCCACTTTCTCCTTTAGGGGATTATTTAACAACACTAAACCTATAGGCTTACCACCACAAGAGATATCTGTAACTTGTGTTACTGAAGTTATATTGAAGTAATATTGGATTATATATTACTTCAATATAACAACATGCTGTGCCACTGTAGAACTGACTTTATATATTTATGACACGTTTTATTCACCTATCTTACTTTCAGCTTTTTCTTTGTATGAATGTGTTAATAGGTACTTTTCTTCATGTACTGATAAACCATTTAACTTGAAGGACATATATATATATATAACACACACACTTATTAAATCACTGAGTTTTGTTTATATGCATTTTGGCGCAGGGACTAAGAGGTATTTTAGTACTTTTGGAATTAGATGTCATTTTTTGAATACATTTCCATAACTGTTCACACAGCAAATAATACACGTTTGTAATTAGGGGTGTCTTTTTTATTTCTCTTATAGTGTCACTTGACTTTGATTGATTGATGGATTTTATATTAAAAAAAAAACTGTAAACAACCTATTAAACCACCATAATGAAGGCAAGATAGCCAGAAACATTTAAAGCATGGTATATTGGAGAGGAGTTGTACGATGTGTCTTATTTTGATGGACTTTTAATGGGTAGTGTGAAATGTGAGAGATGAATAGTCATGGTTAAACATGCTGTCTGCGCTATACTTGAATGCCTGAAATAATAGTGTAATGGAACTAATCCTGATTTTTCTGGGGATCCTCTGGAACATCGTGGTCCTGCTCAGTCAGCAATGTAGCAAATTACACATTTTCCTGAAGAATCTGGTTTCACGACTATGGTTGTAATTTTAAAATGCAAAAATGTACGCCACCACCTGCATACTGAGTCCCTTTTAGCTGCGTCCATTAGTAGGGCTGAGGGCTTGCAGCTGTAAGAGGGATGCTGAAGATGATTGACAGATGAGTTCAGCAGGTTACGTCAAAGGTTTGACTGACATCTCAGACTGCAGCTTCCAAATGAGCTCTGTTATTCCAGTCCAGTCCACGCTATATGCGCCTCTTGAGGACATATGGTTAGATTTGATTTATATTTGTCTGCTCTGTGAAAAGTAGACTATTCCGATGCTAACAGTTTTCCTGAGTATATTCTCAAATATTCCTGTGATCTTGAAGGTGGAGGCTCTTCAAAAATCTTGGATGAATGCAAGAGTGGATGAGTCATTAGTAGAAAGAGAGGCAGCTGCCACATCACTGCTGCAGAGCATTGGTGGGGTGCACAGCCATTGCACTTTTAATACTTAATGTGTTGACCAAGAAGCACTAATGAGCGCTCAGTGAGACCTCTTATGCTGGCAGTATTCTCACTGTGGACCTATTTCTGTCTCCACAAAAACTTTTGTCACACCATTCCCTACCATGGCTTTATTAGTGTATGTAGGAAAACCATCTCATTTAGTCTTTTCACAGCAGTATTAATAATAAATGCAACTGTCTTCTTACATAGAGCATAGCAGTGATAATAAAGGGCTTTGTTGTCATACCAGCAGATTCACATTACAGTATTTGGATGATAAAGCTTTGCACAGCTAACTCAACACTATAACCAATATTGGAAATGAAACCATATTAGATTGTGTCACAGAAATAACTGATAAAAAAACACAAATCTGAAAAATTAATGGTTTTGGTTGTCTCTTCTTTTTCTTTTTGCCATGTTGTGTAGTTCTCTGCTGGGTGTGATGCTCGAGCTTATTAGTTTCAGCAAGATCAGATGAGCTCTTCAGTGACTGGTTTTAATTAAAGCTGGGTAATAGGTTAGTTTTATATCAAAGTTGAAGAAATTGTCTATGATTTTATCGCTGCATCATGATGGATGTAACTATAAATTATTTTCATTATCAATAAACCATTCAATTATTTATCAGATAAATCGGTTAATTGTTTGTCTACAAATTGTCAGAAAACAGTGATAAAGGCATAGACATTTTAATTTACACTGATGCAAAACAGAGAAAATACTCACACTGGGGAAGCTGGTGCCAGTGAACACTTATTAAAATTGTTGTTGATTAATTTTCCATCAGTCAACTACTTGAAATATTGACTAATCGTTTCAGTCATTATGTAACTGACATGTGGTTTCATGGTCTTAGAGGCTATATTAGGCCTATATTAATACCATAGTTGTTTGGCACATTATTTAAGCTCTATTACCTAGGTGAAATGAACACTGAATGCAGGGCTCCAGACAAACTTTTTGCATTGGTTGCACTGGTGAGCCTACATTTTTCATTTAGGTGCACCGCCACAAAATTAAGGTACACCCAAATTTTTCACAGTACCTTTAGCGCCAAAATGGTAAATTCTGACCTTCTGTCATTTCCCATGCACATTGATAGTTATGTAAATGACTGTAAACAGGAATGCCTACAGGTAAATGTTTGTCTTTATTTGAATCACTGTACATACCAAAAATGGCTAAAACTTTATTATTGTAAAGCAGAACTTAAAAAGTCCTGATGTTTAAAGTGTTTGACAAACTAAAAAGATTGGTCGGCTTGGTAGCATCGCATTTCCTCCAAGCTAGTCTCTCTGTGAAATGACTCGTTTCACTATCAGCATATGATCCATTTGGTCGATATCATTTAGAAAGTTCAGAAGAGCCGCACAATAATTATGTTACCCCCATTCAAGTTAGAGGAGGGCTCACCGGCAGAAGTGAGTGTAAAGGATCTGAATAATTCACATCACTAGTATACAGAGACCAAATGGCGTTGTAAAACTTGTTCCATTGAACAAGATTTGTTTTGTGATAAAAACAAGCGGATACCTGAAGCCAATGCGGAAGTGCCTTAAACCTGCATTCTTTCAAAATGGCCTGCAGGAAGCGACTCCGCTGTGCATTGGAGTCAATGACAAAATGACTCTATTTCTCACTTGATATATTACCTCAGTGAACACTTTACTAATGAGTTTATGGTCTCAATCACAGGTTTTGAGTAGGGCTTGGCGGTATATCGCTATAAAGTATATACCGATATAATTTCAAAAGAGATATAAAATTAGACAATACCGATATAGTTTGATGTTGAGTTAATTTGTGTTTCGTAAAGTCCTGCTAGTGTTTGCTCCTCTCTCTCCCTCACCTACAGCTCCGCCTCTCCCTGTGCATCTGCACGCAGCCGTCTGCTCACAAAGTCTCTAACAAGATGGAGGGACTGCTGAAGACCTGCCTTGTAAAAAGACAACAGTGCAGTCAGTGTTTCCCACATATACACGGGCCCCCTAGGTATATTTGGTGACACATTGTAGCATTTTTCAGAGAAACGCAGTCATTACGTTTCAAGTCGTGACATGGTTGATATTTTAGAAGCACGGACCAGGTAAAGCGACAGTGAACACAATAGTGCAGATATAATTTGTTAGCTACCACGTTGGTTTTGTTCTGAAAGGCTAACATGCGGCGTAGCTGCTGCTGTGAAAGGAATCGTGGGAGGAAAAGTTCAGAAGACAAGTTCTGTTTTTTTTCACCGACTTTATATAACGTAGCCAACTACTGATGTAGAAAGTTATATTTATTTATATATATATATATATATATATATATATATATATATATATATATATATATATATACCGGAGTTTTTCCCAACATTACCTGGATAAGAATTTTTGGTCCATATCGCCCAGCCCTAGTTTCAAGTCTTCTTCAATTTAGGATGATGTTCATTTTGTAAATTATGGTTGCATTTAAAATAAAATAGATGATATAACAGATTATGCTTTAGAGTGAGGACATCTTGTGATTGAAAACTTGCTACCACAACCACAGTCAGTCATTCAGAATACATTCAAATCCTAAAAATGTCTTGTTGAGCATTCAGTTTGAATAGAAGACACTCTAAAGTGTAATTTGTACTTCTGTGTCAAATCGACGGCGTAGTCTCTGCATAGCCCCCTACCCTACGCCATAGCCTGATGTGCACCTACTCAAAAATGTAACTACACGTCGAGTCGACGCGGACCGTAAGCTCTGTGATTGGTCGGCTGGGTAGCCTCGCAATGCCTCCGAGCCGACAGGAAGTGCCCGTGCTTTGAAGTAACTTTTACTAGTGGTCAAAACAGCGGCTTTAACACGGTGGATCAATATATTTGACCGTCACTACCTGAGCAAAATGACTTGTTTCACTATCAGAATGTGACCCACTCAGTCGATAACATTTGAAAAGTCTACAACAGCCGCACATATACAATTTTACCCCCATTCACGTTAGCGGA